TAAGGGCCTTGATGATTAGTTAATTAGGCGTGAATCATTTGTGTTAGTGCTGGGCTAGAAGAACAACTGCATAGTGTATATAATGTGCTTTGTAGTGTATTTAACTGTATTGCACTGAGCTCTGTATTGTGTATAATGTGTACTGGGCTGCTGTGTACAATACTGTATATTGTATACTGTGCTGTTTAGTGTATTATTTAGTTTATTTGACTGTGCTGCACTGTGTGTAGTATATCTAACTGTGCGGCGCTGTGATGTATTTAACTGTGGTGTGTGGTGTATTTAACTGTGGTTTGTGGTGTATTTAATTGTGGTGTGTGGTGTATTTAACTGTGGTGTGTGGTGTATTTCACTGTGATGTGTGGTGTATTTAACTGTGGTGTGTGGTGTATTTAACTGTGGTGTGTGGTGTATTTAACTGTGGTGTGTGTTGTATTTAGCTGTGCTGTTCAGTGTAGAGGAATGCTGAATGCTCAGTTCAGTGAGCAGTTCACCATGTTCACCATTTGATATCCACACTAATTACACTAATTACACACAGTACGGCCACAGTACAGCCACAGCCACAGTACAGCCACAGTACAGCCACAGTACAGCCACAGTACGGCCACAGTACAGTACAGCCACAGTACAGCCACAGTACAGCCACAGTACAGTGCAGCCACAGTACAGCCACAGTACAGTGCAGCCACAGTACAGCCACAGTACAGTGCAGCCACAGTACAGCCACAGTACAGTACACACAACAATAACAACAAACACTCACTACAACCAATAGACAAACTGTACATGGAATCACACTCAAATGTTGTGTAATTTGCATTATACAACGGGTGGGTCTAATCCTGAATGCTGATTGGTTAAAACCGCATTCCAGCCGGTGTCTATTCCACAAGTTACCACCGGCTAAATCTATGATCATAAAATGTCTATTTACTCTGTTCCATCTGACTGCGCAATCCACTGTCTCATCAGCCCAGCCAGGCAATTTATAAACTTGATCTCCACTATAAAAAGCATATAGACATTATCTCACATTTCTTTTAGACTAACATTTAGTTTTCAACAGTGGAGATTTGTATAAACCTTGCTGTCTGTCTCTCCGACATTTGCAACATTGTTTCAATATTCAAATTCGATTTCCAGCTGTCCCATAGTAATTAACGTGTCGTGAGTCGGGATGAGATAGACAGGCAGGCAGCTTTCTCAGCCAGTCGAAATCATGAATCAGCATAATTTTTATGGATATTGGCAAAGAACTATCAATAGAAAACAGGTAAAACGAAACGAAGTGCAGCTAGTTTGCTGTCTTTCCAGCTTCAGTTTGAAGTGATTGTGTCAGCTGTGTTGTTGGCTAACTCCTCTGAACAACAATGTCCTGACGAGAGAGCACATTTTCTTGCCAGGCGAAATCGTGCATCATTAGCTCATTATTATGGATGTATCCAAATAAATGTCACTAGAAAACAGCTTAAACAAACGCAAATGCAGCTACTTTGCTGTTATTCTGGCTGCACTGTTTGACGTGACTGTAAGTTAGCCGTGGTTGGCTAGCTAGCAAGCAAGGGATAAGAACGTTGCCAGCCTGTATGGCAATGGAACATTTCGAACGCACAACTGGGTCAAGTCCATGGGTACAGAACAAAAAGACTGAACAACTGGGTCGCGTCTCTGGCAACCGAACCGATAGAACAAATGACCAGCCGGCTTGGGTAGCAACCCTAGATTTGTGTCGGGACTATATCTTGTGGAAGGATGAAATAGTATGACTAAATTAATCAAAATAACGTTTTTAATGAAAATATGTCAATCATTATTTGAATATTTTGGTAACCCGTTGTATAAAAGTGATTATGCCCTCGAAGCCGGTGATTGGAGAATATATTGGCACGGTTTGCCGGCCTTCGACTTCGTCTCGGGCTTAACAACACCTGTGCCAATGTATCCTCCAAAAACCGGCTTCTCGGGCATTACACTTAAATATATTACAGTAAATAGCAATAGATACAGTAAAACCAGGCTGATTAGAAATACATAAAAGGTGACAGATTATATAAAATGCCAGGTAGTCTGTCAAAGCTCCTCGCCACTGACATAAGCATAATGTATCTCAAACATACACCCAACATTCATTTGCACAGTCTATGTGTGTGTGTGTATGTGTGTGTGTGTGTGTGTGTGTGTGTGTGTGTGTGTGTGTGTGTGTGTGTGTGTGTGTGTGTGTGTGTGTGTGTGTGTGTGTGTGTGTGTGTGCGTGTGCGTGTGCGTGTGTGCATGTGTGTGTGTTATGCATGTATATAGAACGCCATCTGCCAGGTCCTGAGGCTGTTCTTGCCCCACTACCCTCCTTGCTTCTATTTCTTTGCCTCTTTCTCTCCTCTCTGTTCTCTCCCTCTGCACCTTCCACTTTGTTATTGTCAAGAGTTTCACTTCACAGCATTAGAGACGTTTATTGTTTACTGTTGTATTATCCATGATAACTAAGGATATTTAACACATGTACAGTATTAATGTAATAACTTCACCTAAACACACAAATATATATATATATATATATATATATATATATATATATACTACCAGTCAAAGGTTTGGACACACCTACTCATTCAAGGGTTTTTCTTTATTTTTACTATTTTTTACATTGTATAATAACAGTGAAGACATCAAAACTATGAAATAATACATATGGAATCATGTAGTAACAAAAAAAGTGTTAAACAAATCAAAATATATTTTATATTTGAGATTCTTCAAATAGCCACCCTTTGCCTTGATGACAGCTTTGCACACTCTTGGCATTCTCTAAACCAGCTTCATGAGGTATTCACCTGGAATGCATTTCAATTAACAGGTGTGCCTTCTTAAAAGTTAATTTGTGGAATTTCTTTCCTTCTTAATGCGTTTGAGCCAATCAGTTGTGTTGTGACAAGGTAGGGGGGGGGGGGGGGGGTGTATACAGAAGATAGCTCTATTTGGTAAAAGACCAAGTCCATATTATGGCAAAACCAGCTCAAATAAGCAAAGAGAAACGAAAGTCCATCATTACTTTAAGACATGAAGGACAGTCAATACGGAAAATTTCAAGAACTTTGAAAGTTTCTTTGAGTGCATTTGCAAAAACCATCAAGCGCTATGATGAAACTGGCTCTCATGAGGACCGCCACAGGAATGGAAGACCCAGAGTTACCTCTACTGCAGAGGATAAGTTCATTAGAGTTACAAGCCTCAGAAATTGCAGCCCAAATTAATGCTTCACAGAGTTCAAGTCACAGACACATCTCAACATCAACTGTTCAGAGAGGACTGTGTGAATCAGGCCTTCATGGTCGAATTGCTGCAAAGAAACCACTACTAAAGGACACCAATAAGAAGAAGAGACTTGCTTGGGCCAAGAAATACGAGCAATGGACATTAGACTGTTGGAAATGTGTCCTTTGGTCTGGAGTCCAAATTGGAGATTTTTGGTTTCAACCGCCGTGTCTTCATGAGACGCGGTGTGGGTGAACGGATGATCTCCGCATGTGTATTTCCCACCGTAAAGCATGGAAGGGGGAGGTGTTATGGTGTGGGGGTGCTTTGCTGGTGACACTGTCTGTGATTTGTTTAGAATTCAAGGCACACTTAACCAGCATGGCTACCACAGCATTCTGCAGCAATACGCCATCCCATCTGGTTTGGGCTTAGTGGGACTATCATTTGTTTTTCAACAGGACAATGACCCAACACACCTCCAGGCTGTGTAAGGGCTATTTTACCAAGAAGGAGAGTGATGGAGTGCTGCATCAGATGACCTGGCCTCCACATCCCCTGACCTCAACCCAATTGAGATGGTTTGGGATGAGTCGGACGGCAGAGTGAAGGAAAAGCAGCCAACAAGTACTCAGCATATGTGGGAACTCCTTCAAGACTGTTGGAAAAGCATTCCAGGGGAAGCTGGTTGAGAGAATACCAAGACTGTGCAAAGCTGTCATCAAGGCAAAGGATGGCTATTTGAAGAATCTCAAATATAAAATATAATTTCATTTGTTTAACACTTTTTTGGTTACTACATGATTCCATATGTGTTATTTCATAGTTTTGATGTCTTCACTATTATTCTACAATTTAGAAAATAGTAAAAAAATAAAGAAAAACCCTTGAATGAGTAGGTGTTCTAAAGCTTTTGACCAGTAGTGTATATATATATATGTATAACAAAAACATCAAATAAACACACTAACATGTGTGCACGCACACACACACACACACACACGAATGAGGTTAATGAAGATTAATGTGGGGGCATGGTGCTATTGTCATCCAGCGTCTCTAATTGTAGCACTATTCTTCAAGGACAGAGCAGAGGAACAGGGAGGGATAGAAGGAGAATGTAGAAATGTACACAATAGAGAGGAAAGTACAGGAGACATACTGTAGAAGTTGTAAAAAGTTCAAAGGCCCTTTGGCATGTCAGGAAAAGACGCAATGGATCTAAATTAGGATAACTATACAGAAAGGAAGAACTAGAAAGGAACAAACAATGGAGTCAATCAGTTTAGACTGAGGGATAGATAAATAAAGATTGTTGGCTGGAGAGACACAAGGTTGGGGAGGGAGTGGTGAAGGTGGAGAGAGAGGTCAAAAGGTCAAAAGTTAGGAGAAGATGTAGGAAGAGAGCAATGGAGCTCGAGAGAGAAAGGGATGGAGGAAAGAGAGGAGAGAGAGAAGAGGGAGAGAGGAGAGAGAGAAAGTCAGAGAGGGAGAAATTATGGAGAGAGTTGGAGGTGGAGGAGTCATCATCATCATCATCATGCCTCCAGCACATCATCATCATCATCATCATCATGCCTCCAAAACATACAGAAGGACAAATACACGCACACGCTCAAAACAAAAACAACAACAACCGCATATTGCTTCATCCTTGCTTTTGTTTTGCATGCATTGTAAATAGCAGCCACATGGACACATTATTCACAAACTCACACAAAAACCCTTACAGATGGGACTTCATTACCTAGACAAATAATAACTGTACCCTTTATCCCTCTCCTCCCAGTCCCCCCCCCCCCCAGCCCTTTCCCGTCCCCCAACCCCAACCCCTCTCTGTCCCGTGTTGTCCTACCTGGGATGATGGAGACGGTGTCTCTCTCCCAGGACACCACGCTGACGTACTCCTGCACGGCGGTAGGAATGAGGCACTTGAACACGGCCACGTTGCCACGCATGGAGCGCTGGTCTGCAACACGTACTGTGTAGGGCTCCCTGAATACTATTATACAGAGAGAGACAAAGTGTTAGGGAGGTATTTTATTCAGATTAATAAAACATTTAAATATTTTAGCGAATTTGGTGTGACAATCTAAAAGTCCTATTTTGGTTTAGGAAAAAGTGAATACATAAGATGTATTCTGGCAGTCAATACTGTAAGAATCATTAATTGGATTTCAAAATAATCAACTAATAACATAGATGTATCTACAATAACAAATGTGCAAACATATTGGGAACAATTCAGATTAGTTATTTGGCTATTGTTTGAAGACATCAATAACACTAATCCTACATCTGTTTTCAATTTCATTTCTGAGCAGGATAAACAGAAACATTATTGGCTAGCTTTCGCCATGACATCAACATCAGACACTAATCTATTGTTGTGTATACAACTCAATATAAAAAATATGACAGAATAAGTGATGCCTGTTAAAGCACTGCGCTAGAGATAACAACCCAGCTTAATAAACCCATTGGGATGTGTAATGGTGGTGGTGCACTGTTCATGCATGTTCATGCAATATTTTACACTCTCCTGAATGAGCACGAACTAATTAGTGAAATCAGGAGAAGCTAGGACATATCTGAAGGTTGCTAAGAAACTGCTTTGGAAGCCCCCTCCCTGGTAACAGCAGTGTAGTGTAGCAAACAGGCAGCGTTACAGTAACGTTAGGATCCTACTGCAGTATAACAACACATCAATATACATTACTACATCCACTTTACATAGAGAAACAGAGACATACATAGACATATAAATAGATGTCTAAATAATAATAAAGATATAGGAACAGTTAATAGATTTATAAAATATGATCTGATGGAAATTGTATCATCTACATTTAAATAATTGCCCGCTGTAGCTATGCAGTAAAGAGATCATTCACCGAAACGACAAATGTACATAATATTATGGATATCTAGAAAGTAGGCTAGGGTTTGTTTATTTACTGTACTGTAGCTACAGCATAAGCATCTGTGAGTGAGAGTGATACATAGCAAATACTCTAACTTTATACCAAGTTGTAGTAACCCCATTACACTACCCCTTGACACCACAGCACCCTGACCCGAAACCCCTGACTGTAACTTCTGAACCACATCCCTCCTGACTGTAACCTCTCCATAACCATAACTCCTTGACCAAACATAACTCCCTGACCATACATAACTCCCTGGATATGGGATGTGGCTGCTATGGTTTTGTAAATGCTAATCCCTTGTCTCCTGGGGGCGGGCTTTTGGGTCATGAGGGAATGACGGCAGCAGCAGCAGCGAGGAGCGAACAGAGCAGACGGGAGCGACCGACTGGCTGGCGTGCGGCTCAGATCACAGTCTCTCTCTCTCTTCTCTCTCTCTCTCCCCCTCTCCCTCTCCCTCTATCTCTCTCTCCATAATCTTCCACTGGCTTGGCTAGCTAGTATTAGTATTAGTATTAGTAGGAGTATGTATTAGTGCAGGTCGGTGTTGGGAGGCAGAATATGAAAACAGATGTTGACAGCAGGAGGGACGGGGGAGGGACTGTCTGCCCTGATGTGAATGATGGACAGGGAGTGAGAGAGGGAGTGAGAGAGGGAGGAAGGAAGGCGGAACAAGAGAGGTTGTGGAGAACCTACAGTCCAGGAGAACTGTAAAAGTGACCACTTGACCAACTGATTCAACTGACCATCTCACCTCCACTTAGTTTATCCAGTATATGATATGAAATCGATCAAATGGATGGACAGGCCCAGAGCCAGCTACAATATATCCCACATTAGCAGCAGTTATAACCTGTGCTGTTTTATAGCACTGGCATGAAGTCTAATCAATGGAGTGCACCAATTAGATTTCATAATGAGAGATAATGAATGAAGTGTTCTGCTGCGGTTATATTTAGCATGGTACCAGAGGACAATGTGAGAGGAGGAAGAAGAGAGGAGGAGGAGAAGGAATGGAGAGAGAGATAGAGACGGAGACGGATAGAAATAGAGAGAATAAGATGGAGGAAGAACATCACACAAGTCAGCTGATGCTTTAGCAATAGCATAGCAACCAGCAGCAGTAGCAGCAACATCTGCATAGATACTGTCATTAGTCATTAGTTTTTGGTGCTTCTATGACTCATACTACATACGTACATACCTATGTGTGTGGGCCAGACAGTTCAAACCAGTTGAAGCATAAGGGATTAGATTAAGGTTGTGGAGTATAACTAGGGTTACAGGCTGGTGGCCTCAATTCATCATGGTGACGGGGTTAAAGGGTTGTGTAGTGTGTAACAAAGTCCAGTGAACCTGTGTTTGGGGGGAGGCTGTGTCCTGGCCTGTATTGCCTGTGTTACAGATGTTGTCCCAGCAGAGTAGACTGTGTTCTAGGTCAGTCTGGATTTACATTTTACATTTTTGTCATTTAGCAGACGCTCTTATCCAGAGCGACTTACAGTTAGTGAGTGCATACATTTTCATACTGGCCCCCCGTGGGAAACAAACCAACAACCCTGGCATTGCAAGCGCCATGCTCTACCAACTGAGCTACAGGGGACTTGGGGGGCGATTTGGGACCAGGGTTTGTACAGGTGCCTCTCTGACTGGCTTGTGCTGTGGCCAGCAGGCTTTTGGCAGCAGTCAATCACTCCCTGCCTTTTGCTTGTTTACATTTTCTCTCTCCATCATTCCCCTCCCTTGTTCTGCCCTCTAACCTCTATCGCTCCCCTCTTAGTTCCTTCTGTCCCTCTGCATCTACACCCTCTACTATCCCACCTCTCTACCTCCTCTCCCCCTCCCTTCTTCACCTGTCCCTTCCCTCTGTCCTCTCTTCTCCTAGTCCCCCTTTCACCCTCCCCTCTCTCTGTTCTCCAACCGCCCCCCTTCTCCCCTCTCCTCACCAGCTTTGACTCTGATGTTGGGGCTTCGGATCTTGCCAGCCTGGTTCTCTGCGGTGCAGAAGTAGTCGTTGTCGTGGATGTAGGAGTTGAAGGCGGAGGGCGAGAAGGGGTAGAGCTGGAGGGTGCCGTTGGCATGGACGTGGCGGATGTGGGGCACGTCGTAGATGTCATCGCCGGTGGCCAGGTACCAGCGCAGGATGGCGGTGGGGGTGCCGCCCGCCGGGCAGGGCAGAGACACCCCCACCGAGCTGGAGTAGGTCAGCCTCTGCAGGGATGCGTTCACAAAGTACAGCCTGGTAGAGCCCACATCCTCACTGTGTACTGCATGGGGAGAGAGATAGGACAGTTAGTTATAGGTAGGGTAGAGACAAGTCAGTGACATGTAGAACTATATAAACTAAGTGTCACTGTTGCGAAACAACAGTTGACGAATTGCTTGAAAACACTGTTGAGCTCCATATTCAAAATACATATCTGGAACTCTGCCCACGTGTTATTCCCCAAAAAATTATATAAAAGTAAAAAGGGAGATTGAAAAGTAATGACCACATAAACAGAACATGAATGCCCTTCAAATGTGTAGCAAAATAATCATAACAAATGTATGTCAAATGTCCAGCTGCAAACATCAGTCATGTGGCGCAGAAAGCCAGGGATTTGAGCTAAAGCCTCTGGTGGGTTACGTGGATGGGGGAGGAGGCCTCTACCTCTACACACACAGAGACACACAGACACACAGACACACAGACACACACCAAGAGAAAAAACACAGTTATGTGATTGGAATTTGTATGCCAGACACAGAGTTAAATCTGTTTAATCTCCTTTCATATTTATCACACAGACACACACACACAGTATACACACACACACACTCACATACTCACACACACACACACACACACACACACACCAGGAGTGTTCCTCCTGGGTGCTCAGATTAGGGGCACACAACCCCAGCAGAGAGCGAAAGGGAGGGTACCCACAATTCAGAGTCAAGGAGGGGAAGATTAGAAGAGAGAGAAAGGACTATGCACTAGATGGACAGATGTGGACGTACAAATCCATCTCACCATCCCCCAAAATATGTAATGCATACATCCTTTATACCACATTACTTAACAATACTAGACAATACACACAAATCCCCAAAATCTAAAGAAAGGAATTAAGAAATATCAGAATGAGCAATGTCAGAGTTTGGAATGTAAATATATATATGTATATGATGGAGTGTATAGACAGTATGGACAGTATATGAATAGGAAAGGTGTGTACAGCAGTAGTTATATAGGATGAGCATTGACTAGAATGCAGTATATAAAATGTGCTTAACAAGTCACATAATAAGTTGCATGGACTCCTTCTGTTACTACCTCATCTCTGTACCCCACACATACAATTATCTGTAAGGTCCCTCAGTCAAGCAGTGAATTTCAAACACAGATTCAACCACAAAGACCAAGGAGGTTTTCCAATACCTAGCAAAGAAGGGCACCTATTGGTAGATGGGTAAAAAAATATAAATAAAAAGCAGACATTGAATATCCCTTTGAGCATGGTGAAGTTATTAATTATTATTTGGGTGGTGTATCAATACACCAAGTCACTACAAAGATACATGCGTCCTTCCTAACTCAGATGCCAGAGAGGATGGAAACCACTCAGGGATTTCACCATGAGGCCAATAGCGTCTTTAAAACAGTTACAGAGTTTAATGGCTTGTGTAGTTACACAATACTAACCTAAATGGCAGAGTTAAAAGAAGGAAGAATGTACAGAATACAAATATTCCAAAGCATGCATCCTATTTGCAATAAGGCACTAAAGTAAAACAGCAAAACATGTCCTGAATACAAAGCGTTATGTTTGGGGCAAATTCAACACAACACATCATTGAGTACCACTCTTCATATTTTCAAGCATGGCGGTGGCTGCATCATGTTATGGGTATGCTTGTCATTGGCAAGGACTGGGGAGTTTTTTATGATAAAAATAAACAGAATAGAGCACAGGCAAAATCCTAGAGGAAAACCTGGTTCAGTCTGACACTGGGAGACAAATTCACCTTTCAGCAGGACAATAACCTAAAACACAAGGACAAATATACACTGGAGTTGCTTACCAAGACGACATTGAACGTTCCTGAGTGGCCTAGTTACAGTTTTGACTTAAATCGGCTTAAAAATCTATGGCAAGACTTGAAAATGTTTGTCTAGCAATGATCAACAACCAACTTGACAGAGCTTGAAGAATATTTTTATATGTGCAAATATTGTACAATCCTGGTGTGCAAAGCTCTTAGAGACTTACCCAGAAAGACTCACAGCTGTAATCGCTGCCAAAGGTGATTCTAACATGTATTGACTCAGGGGTGCAAATACTTATGTAAATTAGATATTTCTGTATTTCATTTTGAATACATTTGCTAACATTTCTAAACACGTTTTCATTTTGTCATTATGGAGTATTGTGTGTAGATGTGTGAGAAAAAACATTGATTTAATCAATTTTGAATTCAGGCTGTAACACAACAAAATGTGGAATAAGTCAAGGGATGTGAATACTTTCTGAAGGCACTGAACATAGGGCAGCAATCTCTAAGATGCAGGGTAGAGTACCGGGTGGTAGCCGGCTAGTAACAGTGACTAAGTTCAGGCCAGGGTACTGGGCGGAGGCCGGCTAGTGGTGACTGTTTAACAGTCTGATGGCCTGGAGATAGAAGCTGTTTTTCAGTCTCTCGGTCCCAGCTTTGATGCACCTCTACTGTCTCCGCCTTCTAGATGGTAGCAGGGTGAACAGGCCGTGGCTCGGGTGGCTGAGGTCCTTGATGATCTTCTTGGCCTTCCTGTGACACTGTGTGCTGTAGATGTCCTGGAGGGTGGCAATGTGCCCCTGGTGATGCGTTGGGCTGACATCACCACCCTCTGGAGAGCCCTGCAGTTTCGGAAGGTGCAATTGTCGTACCAGGTGGTGATACAGACAGGATACTCTCAATGGTGCATCTGTAGAAGTTAGTGGCCAGGACTAATTTCTTCAGCCTCCTGAGGTTGAAGAGGCGCTGTTGCGCCTTCTTCACCGCACTGTCTGTGTGGATGGACCATTTCAGGTTGTCAGTGATGTGCATACTGAGGAACTTGAAGCTTTTCTCCCTCTCCACTGCGGCCCCGTCGATGTGGATGGGGGCATGCTCTCTCTGCTGTCTCCTGAAGTTCACAATCAGCTCCTTCGATTTGTTGACGTTGAGGGAGAGGTTATTATCCTGGCATCACTCTGCCAGGGCCCTCACCTCCTCCCTGTAGGCTGTTTCGTCGTTGTTGGCAATCAGGCCTACCACTGTTGTGTCGTCTGCAAACTTGATAATTGAGTTGGAGACTTGCTTGGCCACGCAGTAATGGGTGAACAGGGAGCACAGGAGGGGGCTGAGCACGCACCTAAGTGGAGGATCAGAGTAGCGGAGGTGTTGTTGCCTACCATCACCACCTGGGTTCGACCCGTCAGGAAATCCAGGACCCAGTTGCACAGGGTGATGTTCAGACCCAGTGCCTCAAGGTTAATGATGAGCTTGGAGGGCACTATGGTTTTGAAGGCTGAGATGTAGTTGATGAACAGCATTCTTACATAGGTATTCCTCTTGTCCAGATGGGATAGGGCTGTAATGATTGCGTCATCTGTGGATCTGTTGGGGTGGTATGCAAATTGTAGTGGGTCTAGTGTGTCAGGTAAGGTGGAGGTGATATGATCCTTAACTAGCCTCTCAGTACTTCATGATGGCAGAATTGAGTGCTACTGGGTGATAGTCATTTAGTTCAGTTACCTTCGCTTTCTTGGATACAGGAACAATGGTGGACATCTTGAAGCAAGTAGGGACAACAGACTGGGATATGGAGAGATTGAATTATGTCCGTAAACACTCCAGCCAGCTGGTCTGCCCATGCTCTGAGGACGCGGCTTGGGATGCCGTCTGTGCCGGCAGCCTTGCAAGGGTTCATTCACCTCTAGACTCTCTCTCTATTGTCCAGCCCCTCCAACACTACTGTACAAACCATCTGCACCAGGCTCTCTAGTACCCCTAGGGTAAACACTTAGATTGTAGGCTCATTTAATGTCAATTTGTGTACGCTAGTGTGTACGTTGTGCTGTTGACAGACAGATTGGTTACGTTTGTAGGTTCAGATTTCAGATGGTGGTTATAGCAACACATTAAACTATCAAGCTTTTTCTCACAGCTTCAGCACTATGGACAGAGTCTATACATTTACCCAAGAGTAAGATCAGAACCACGGACAGAGTCTATAGATTAAGATCAGCTCCTCTGGATAATGATGCTTCCATAGGCTATATAATCCCACCTAAGGGCAATTCCATAATGCCACGAGTCATGACCCCTTGAAAGAACAGTAGCACTCACTCCTGGCTCCATGGTCAGGGCTCAACATAACATAACATTGATGTTAGATGTGAAGTGAGGGCAGCATGCTACAGATGGTAAATATGAACTCTAGCCGTCCATCCGATGGTGGGCTGCAGAATCCAGGTCAGACATGCTCCCCCACCCCACCACACCACACGCGCCATCCCCCCCTCCCCTCCCTCCCCTCTGCAGATTACTGATAATGGCCCCCGAGCATAAAGCCCATATTAAAGACGGCAATATCTATAATCTCCCAATGGGGAGACAGGACTAAAGTGGAGGGGTGGAGGGGTGGAGGGGGAAAGGCAGGCTGGGGGTCACCCTGAGAGCTTAGGGGAGCTTGGGGGCCTGGGGGCTGGAGGGGTGAGGGTGGTTGAAAGGGGGGTACTGGGCAGGATCGAGTGGGGAGTGGGTGAGAGGGGGGGGGGGATCAGAGTGCCCACTCAAAGCCTGTCAGAAACAGACACACCACACACACACGCCAAACACACACACATGCCACAAGAGGAACTTAGGACACGCTCACACTTGGTGGAGACAGAGGGGTTGCCATGGTGGCACTGGCATGTGACAAAAAAAGATATACACAACATACTATGTGTGAATACAGTATGTTGGTGTATATTTTGAGGGGGTGAACTGGGGGCAAGCGACTTCCATCCAAGTCAATGGAAGGAGAAACCAACCGGACCATTAATTAACAGCTAGGTCACCCGTGATACAAGTCAGTATTCGACGTCCACTCATGTCTGAGGACGCCACGAGATAATGTGGAAACCGGCCACTAGGGTCAACAGTGAGCGCTGTTACCTTCAAGTAGGTTTAGATTTTGCTAGGGTGTTGTGGAAAGGGATGGCAAATGGGCGTAAGCATTTGCCTCTGATTTCAAAGGTTGCAAGTTCAAATCTAGCAATAGACAGTTGTTTTTGAGATTTCTGTTTTAAGCCTATCCCAAACCTTAACCAATTAGAGTTAATGCCTAACTTTAAGATTTCAGAGTTAATGCCTAATCTTTTTTTTTTGTATTTTACCCCGTTTTTCTTGTCTCATCGCTACAACTCCCCAACGGGCTCGGGAGAGGCGAAGGTCGAGTCATGCGTCCTCCGAAACATAACCCGCCAAACCTCACTCCTTAACACCCGCCCGCCAGCTGCACCAACATGTCGGAGAGAACACTGTTCAACTTACGACCAAAGTCAGCCTGTAGGGCCCGGCCCGCCACAAGGAGTCGCTAGAGCACGATGAGCCAAGTAAAGCCCCCCTGACCAAACCCTCCTGACACTGGGCCAATTGTGCGCCGCCCTATGGGACTCCCGGTCAAGGCCGGTTGTGACACAACCTGGGATCGAACCCGGGTCTGTAGTGACGCCTCAAGCACTGCGATGCAGTGCCTTAGACCGCTGCGCCACTCGGGAGGCCCATTCATGCCTAGACTTAACCTTAAACACATCAACAAACCCCCTTTCAGTCAAATTCAGTCCAAAGCATCTGAGTTCAGTGTTGACCTAGTATCTGGGGACACCAGTAGAACTGGGAGTTTAGTCCTAATAAAATACAACGAGGAAAAACAATAGAAAATATAATGAAACGCATCCATGTCCCCTCTTTCATTGTGAGGTGTTTTCATTGCAGTGCATTGGAGCCTGTTAATGGTGTTGGTAGAGCTGAGCCCTGGCTAGCTGGCTGGCTGCAAGAGTGAGTGTGCGCAGAACACACTGAGCCACTATTTTATGCAGCCTGCTTGAGAACAAGCCATGAATATGTATGTCGGAGAGGCAGAAGCCATTGCCTATGCAAGACTTCATTATGCATAATGCAGCTGGTCTACGCCTCTCCGGTGTGCGTGCGCATGCACACACACACACACACACACACACACACAATCGTATCATGTGTTAAACACGAACCACACACTGATGAGCTGGTAAACAAATGCCCACACCCCCCCATTCCCTTTCATATACACACCATCAAACCCGCAGTCCCTGAACCAAACCAAATGCATAATGCTTTATCCTCTTCTCCATCTTCCCCCCTTTTCTCTCTCTCCCTCATTCTCTCTTTAACCCTCTGCTCATGTGCATACACATCAGTGCTCCCTCTCTCTCAACCCCCATCCTCTTCTCTCTCTCTGTCACACATCATGGAGCACCTCTTCCCATGGAGACAGATGTAGGATCATTTTCAGACAGACTGGAACTCTATTTCCTCCTCTCCTTCCCTCCATCTCCCTGTGGTCTTCTCCTTCTCCTCTATTCCTTCTATCTCTCCATCGATTACCTTCCGAACGCTAGATAGCTCATATCTTGTTGCGTCTTATCGGAAGACTTTTGAAGTTGTGTGCCAACATGTATGCATTTAGAACATAACGATTAGAATATTTCGCTGTCTGTCTGTCTGTCTGTGTGTGTGTGTGTGTGTGTGTGTGTGTGTGTGTGTGTGTGTGTGTGTGTGTGTGTGTGTGTGTGTGTGTGTGCGTGTGCGTGTGCATGTGCGTGTGCATGTGTGTGAGAGCAAGTAGGGGGAGTGGAAGTACATACAAATTAAAAGGAGAGACAGGGAGATGGAGGTAGGTGTAAGCTTTTGAATAATCCTTAGGGGTCTGGCATAAGTAGGTGGTTGGTGTGAGGTGGGAAGATGTGAGGGCTGGGCTGGGGGGTTGTTGGGGTTTACAGCTCATCAAGGCAGGGGTTTTGCCCCCCTGCTTTCTGTACACCTTATACCCCCATCACCCCCCCCCCCCCCCCCCCCCCCTTGCTGTGTCAGTGAAAAAGTGTGCTACTTCAGCAGTCCCCTGGGACCTGCTCCCCCTTACATCAAAGCAGCCAGTTTCTCTCTTAATGTGAATATCAAATCTGTAGATCACAAGTCCCAGCAGTCTGCATAAAACTGCCCCTCCCCCAGACTTTAATTCTGCCTAGTGATGAGGGAGAGAAGGAGGAGTGTGTGTGAGTGAGAGAGCGATAGAGAGAGAGAGAGAGAGAGAGAGAGAGAGAGAGCGAGAGAGCTGAGAGGATAGAGAGAGAGGAGAGAGAGCTCTCTGAGACGAGAAGAGAGCTCCATCTCCTTACCATGACCTCCCTTCCACACCACCCCCTGCTAGCCAAGTTCTGGCATAAAACACTTCCCCAAAAACAGTAAGGTCTGAGGTGATAAAAGGCAAGAAAATTTGCTTTTCAACTTGGATACCTCACCTGTCATCCGTCAGAACGCATGTTGTTGACATATTTCATATCCCTCTTTTTCAAACATAGCCTATACATTCTTTATCCATTCTAATCATCTAATGCATTTTTATTCGACATAATTTATCCCATTCGGGTACGCTACATTGTGACAATGGGTTGAGAGAGGAGCGAAATGATGCAGGGGGACTGATATGAATAGGAAAGCAGATGTGCCATGATAGAGGTGTAAGATCCTACCGCTGAACGCTCTATGACTCTGCTCCGCTCGCTCTGAGATCCTCTGCGCTCGCCCTGCCAGCCTCATCACTGCAACGCGCCACTTACACCAGCTGCAGTAACGTTTACATCTCACAATATTATTACAAAGCTAGGTAGGCTTAATCACCATTCCACAGGGGTAAAACGTACCTTTTTGAGTTCCTCACTAGAGGCAAGGGCAACCCCGGCCAAGGCCATAGAAATCGATTTTTTCCATGCACTCCATTGAAAAAGTTTGCGAGATGATTTTAAAGGAGAGAAGTTTGAAGGATTATTTGGCCTCAAAACGAAAACAATAACAAAAGCAATAGTGTAAACTGTATACACCATATTATGAATAGGTTAATCTTATTGACTCATTAATGAACCTAGGACACACAGCACAGACTTAGGCTATTCAAGGAGCCAACTAAACTTGTTAGAATTAATCTATAGCCTACAACAGATAATCAACACGAAAATGTTTGTGTTTATAAATCTACGAATGCAATTTGACAAGAAAATTAAGTGAGTAGGCCTAGGCCTAAGCTACAGCCTGGGCCATAGGCTTAGGCTAAGTTTACAATAAAGGCAGTGCAATTATTCATTCAGCATTATTCAATATATAAAATGTGATTTATGAGCATATTTTATTCGAAAAATAAGGCAATTTTCTATTGGCACCCTTGGTTACCCGCTTTGCTGCTCTGTCATTGGGTGATGCGGCAGATCGCAGCGCTAATTGCGCAGCTGAGGGGAGAAGCAGCTGGGATTTTGGGCTAAAATAGAGAGAGACCAATTTTGCATATTTCTATTTTCTACGAGGGAGGACAGGAGAGGGAGGGATGGGTAGGGAGGGGGAGAGGGTGACAGTAGCCTAGGAGCTTATGACGGGGGAGGGAATGCCTTAGAGCGTCTGCTAAATGACGTAAATGTAAATGTAAATAACCACATATATTTTGATTCATTAAGCTCAATTTCGAAATGCCATTGACGGGACCATTTTATTATATTTATTTTATTTTCATTTTATAATTATTTCATTTATTTCAATAGACCAATACATCCTTAGAAATTACACTGAAAATACAAACTGCTCTACAACAATTCTAGCATTTCTGAAATCAATACATAATTAATTGGTAATCATTCTAGGCAATAAATAATTGAAATGTGTGTGTCTGTGTTGGATTATCATAATTTGTAGTTGGTCAAAAATAGCAAAAGGGTGGTCAAATAAATAAATTCCATATTGACAAAATTGTCTATTGCTCATCTTCAATAATGAAATATAGCGCTATAATGGTCGTAAAATATCCTATTTAATTTAGCTTCATTGGTTTTAAGCCTAAAGATTTAATGATTGTTCCACACCTAAAGACAAAGAAAATGTATACTAATTAATTACACTGTCATTTGGACTAAAATAATCTCTTTGATTTGTTTATTTAATTGATGTAGGCTAATTGACCAATTATGTAACCCATGTCTCGTTGTAAGTTATTCGCTAGCCCATTGAATTGGGTGGGTTTGCGTTGTAAACAAAAATGTGATGTTTAAATACAACATTCTAAAGTGAACCATTTAACAATAACAATTGCCTTCCCATAAATTGTCACAGTTAAATCATACACATAAACTTTGTAGCAAACAGTCCCAATGCAATGCAGAGAGGGAGGGGTGCCCCCTTTCCCCTTTCACACACACAGCGAGAGAGAGAGAGAGAGAGAGAGGAGAGAGAGAGAGAGGACGAGGAGATCGAGAGAGAGAGAGGAACGAGAGACATCCGGCTGAGAGATGTCATAGGCGGACGATTTGAGAGGAGAGAGTTTGAGGAGGAGAGCGAGGAGATCCGAGCAATTGAGAAGCGAAGCACGATGAGATCGGGAGAGACAGCCAGTCAGGATGAGGAACCTCTGAGATTCCATCGCAGATGGAGGTCTCTGTACAGAATCGAATAGTAAGCCTGGATGCTATGGAGAATTCTATAGAAGAGCAGATGAAGTTGTATCAATTGCGCATTGATGTATGGCATCTGTCATTCAGGAAGCATTCGAAGACTGAGAGAGTCGAGAATGACTAAGTAATGAAGAATCGAGACGCATAGAAGGCACAGAGATGTAGGAGCTGAGAACGCAGAGCGATAGCCTTACAGAATGAGGAACAAGAACGAGACACGCACAGTCCCTAGAAGAGAGTATGAAGCGAGAAGCATAGACTGATAGAGACAGAGGATGAGGACGAGAGAAGAAGAGAGAGGGAGAGACCAGGAGAAGAAAGAGAGTTGGAGAGACGAGAGGAGAGAGAATGAGAGAGAGAGAGGAGAGGAGAGAGGAGAGAGGAGGAGCAGAGAGGAGACGAGAGACTTAGAGAGGACGAGGAGGAGGAAGAGAGATAGAGAGGAGAGGAGAGGAGAGAGAAGAGAGAAGAGAGAGGAGAGAGAGAGAGAGAGAGGAGATGAGAGGACGAGGGAGGAGAGGAGAGAGAGAGGAGAGCAGCCAGGGTTCAGGTGGACTATTAGAGGGAAACACTCCTGGGCTTGTCCACATCCACCCACGCATCTGGGGTCTTCTTTGATCAAATAAATAAAGATCGAATTAAATAGATTTTAAAAGACATTTGGATGCTGGTATGAGAACATTGTGCCTTTACTTAACTTGACTTTTCATCATTTTTTAATTGCTATTCATTCAGGGAGACATTAAAATGCTTGAATGGTCCACATGTACTTACACCAATTTATGAAATTACGAAATTTCAACGTTCATCTGCACATGACCTAGTTCTCCAAAATGATAGGCTTATATGTAATTAAACAATTATTAACACCAAACAGCCTAAATAAAAGTAGGCGCCAATGTGAGTTTGTATCTTGGGTTTGCCCTTCCAGTATTGACAGACATGTCCGATAGGCCTACATATCGAGACATAAGAAAAAAAACATATCTGCCCATCCTCCAGGCCCATGCCATTTATGAAATCATAACTCATAAATATGCATATACATAACTCCAAACAGCCAGGCTAAACAAAGGACTACATGCCGAGATGCTGTTGAGTTTCTGTGTTATTTTCAACGCAGATTTGCAGGATTATTATAATGCACTGTAATAGCAAGAGAGATCAGTTTGGTAATTCGGTCGAGGATTTGCAGCCATATTGAATCAGCCTTTGAAATGTGAGGATTTTTCCGCGTCAAAAACAGAAAGCACTTTATAAAGATAAATAATTTAACGAAAATTAAACTCATAATGTCTACAAAATAAACGAGGAAATTCTGAAAATAGTAATTGCATTTTCATTATGGGGTAATTAATTTGGGTGTAATTATTTATGTCTAATAAGAAGCCTTTCATTTGTTACTTCATTTTTCAACATGGCAACTACTAATTGACAGACAGGGACTCTTGCCAAAAATCTCCTCAAGATCACCTCCCAAAAATCACCACAGCACCGCTCCAGAACAGTGCTCCTGTGTCCACAGCCAAGCGCTTAAAACACATTCACAGACAGACCCACAAACCGACACCAATAGGCCAAACAACCACAGCAAAATTATTTATTAACACTGAAATGAAATGATAAGAATCGATTTCAACAAATACTTTGAACTGCATGTGCCCATTCAAGTTTTGACCACTAAAAAAAGTCAACAATTCAGGCATTTCAAGACCTGTTTTCATCTCCCTCTCCCACCTCGTTCTCCCTATCCAGCCATTTTACATATTCATAACTCTCGTTGGTATAATGCGAAAACAAACCGTGCTATCAGCACCATCTGCGGCATCACGGACCAGTGCACACGGCCACACATCGACAAAAAATCTACTTCACACCTAAAACACCTCTACATGTATCTTTACAATAGGCCTATGCATTTTGTAGACAAACAAAGTAATTTACACTTCATTTAAAAATCCAGTCTCTCCTAATTTCATGGCTTCCAATGATAGGCTACATCAATGCAGTTGTTCTCCTGCTACATCTCCATGTTTCTTTACAATTATTGGTAATTAATACAGTACATTTGATCAGGATAGAATAAGTGAGACACTCACTGGATTTAATTTATAAAGGTAATACATAAAAACCATGTTTCTTACCTTCCTGGAGAGAGTACAGCAGGAGTAAAGTTACAAGCCACATGCCATAAATAGCAGGTATATTTTTCAGGAATGTTTGGCAATCCTGGCAAGTGTGCGGCGCAGTCTTTGGCCAGGCGAGTCTCCGTGCTGGACTGGCGACTATGCTCCCCGGCGGTCTCTCCAGCCCTGCTGCCTAGATAACCATCGCCGGGAAATGAGAAGCGCCTGAGACCCGCCCACGTCCCCTCCCTTCGATGGGGCTACATGCATGCAAAGCCTCCCTTCGTATTCTAATGAGACACCGTCGAACGATGCGTCACACGCCAAATGGAACCGCCGAGGGTCGAGTTGAGTTGAGGAGTGGACATTCGGTCATTTATCGGTGGAAAGGAGGGTGTGTGCACCCGATTGACGCCGACAGGTGAATGGCTACTGTCTCTGACACACAGGTGAGCGTGCCCACCTGTGCACCACAAGGACTGAACAGCCCTTTTCTCTCCGCTTTGGATTTATCTACTCCAGATACCATTGGATACTTTGAAAACAAATCACTATAATCAACAATATTACTTGTCTGTTTATTTATGGATTCACTCAGTCGCAGAGTGATGGTTGGATATAGGACTCCTGAGTCCCATAGTGACTTAAAATGAAAGCACTTATCTCTCCTCTTTCCTCTCCCGGGCAACGGAGCACACGCACAAATTCATGCTCGCGCACATGCACGCACGCACGCACGCACGCACGCACACACACACACACACACACACACACACACACACACACACACACACACACACACACACACACACACACACACACACACAGAGACAGAGAGAGAGAGAAAGAGCGAGAGAGAGATGGAGAGACTTGAGAGATCCCTCTTGGATCAGGACTTGCCATCCTCTGTTTGGGTGAGCCAACTGAACGTTTACATACAGACCAATAGCCTACACTTTTTTTTTGTCTTTCACCATATCAC